TATATTTATGAATTTCATGAATATTGTTTTAATTCAGTATATATATGATTTTCACGTGTATTGTTTGATTCATGTATATTATTGTGAATGAGGCGGGAATTTTATGTATATTGTTGAATGAGGCTGGAATGTCATGTATATTGTTGTGAAATTGTTAGAAAATTGTTTTCATGTATATTGTTGAGAAATTATTAGGAAATATGTGTATATAAAAACATGCATAGAACCTGTGCATGTTTTTTAAAACTTGCAACTCCACGGGACTTTAAGTCCCGTAGAGCTGCAGGTTGAATTCTAGAGAGTGCTTCTCTCTGGAAACTTCACGCCTAAAACTTCACGGGACATGAAGTCCCGTGAAGTTGACAGAATTATAAATTTTCACGGGACTTGAAGTCTCGTGAACTTATATACCCCCTAATCCACTTTATTACCGGGGGTTTAAACTTCACGGGACTTGAAGTCTCGTGAAGTTTTGTGATGTTTTCACCAAAATCTACTCAGTTTCAGCCATGAAATTTTGTGATGTTTTTCACCAAAATCGACCTAGTTGTAACCAGTTGGCTGAAACTGGGTTGATTTTGGTGATTAAGTTAGAAACATGTCGATTTTTACAATTAAGTTTCTAAATTGGTTGGTTTTAAAAATTTGTCCATTTTTAAATTAATCCTTTAATCATCCCATATATGATCTATTCTATAAGATAAAACCATTTTTACCCCGTGAAGCACATAATACGATAAGTTTCACAAAACAACTTTACTTTGGCCATTTAAGATAACCCTCTTAACTAGAAAAATACCACTAAAACCCCTTTATGTTTGCTCTATTTTGAGATAAGCCCTCTATTTTTAGATAATACAGTCAACTAATATTGTTAGACGGGGGAGTCACCTATAGGGGTGTCAAACGGTTCGGATATATCCGAACCAATCCGCATCCGTATCCGAACGGATGTGGATACGGTAAGCTAATTTTGAAACTGGACGGATATGGTTTTAGATACGGATCTGATTTTGGATTTTTTTGGATACGGATTTGGATACGGATATGAGGGTTGCAGATACGGATATCTGCAACATAATAATGATTAGGGTAATCGGGTCCTAAATTTATAATTACAAACCTGCTAACCCAAAACCAAAATTAAAAAGGAAAAAAACCCTAGGCTGAATCACATGATTCACACTTCGCCTCCAGTGCTCCACTCTCCATCTCCATGATTCTCCACTCCAGCCCTCACCCTCAGGCCGCCTCAGGGTGAAATTGAGGCCCCCTCCAGCCCTCAACCTCAGGCCGCCTCTAGCTCTAAACCTTGTCGTCTTCCCTCTCCTCAATTTCAGCCTTCGCCCTCACCCTTAGGCCGCCTCAGGGTGAAATTAAGGCCGCCTCCAGCCCTCAACCTCAGCCGCCTACAGCCCTCAACCTCAGGCTGCCTCTAGCTCTCAACCTTGCCGTCTTCCCTCTCCTCAATTCCAGCTCTCACCCTTGCTGTCTTCGTCCATGCCTCAATTCTAGCTCTCGCCCTTGCTGTCTTTGTCTAAGCTACCAGATCTTGCCGTTCGCCATTCGTCTTCGTCGTCTTTGTCGGATCTCGCCCGCTTCGTCTTTGTTGGATCTGCCGTCTTCTGCATAAGGTCGAATCGAAACTCTGTTTTAATTCATTATCAATATCTTCTATCATATGTGTATAAGATTTTTGATTAAGTTTTTTTTTAATTTAATTGAATAGAAATCATGTCTAATCCTTCGATTCAAGCGTCTAACGAAAAACAAACTGTTGAGCCTATTGTTGAACCTACTGTTGAACCTGTGGTTGAGGAATCTTCAAGTAAAATTGATGAAAAACCTGAAAAGAAAAGAAGATGTTATTCTGAAGTGTGGTTAGATTTTGATAAAATAGATAAAATAGAAAAGAAAATAGTTGATGGGAAAGAGGTTGTCACCAAAATTATTAGAGCCATTTGAAAATACAAACAGTGCTCATTTGAAGCCGATGGACGTAGTATCAAGGGCACTTCCCATCTTAAAAATCACATTGCGAGATGTCCTAAAATGAAAAGAACCGATATTCGTCAACAATTGGTTCAAGCTACTATGAAAAATGAAGATGAGACTTGTTCACTTAGCAATTATCAATTTGATTATGAGAAGAGTCAAAATTTGCTTGCAAAGGCAATAATCATGCATGAATATTCATTTAATATTATAATACATGAGTTTTCCCTCAAGTATGTGCATTCTCTCTGTCCAAATCACAAGGTTCCAAAACGTACACATATCACAAAGTTGTGTATAAAGATTTATGAAGATTATAAAAAATCTCTATTGGACTTGTTTGCGAAATCTTCTATAAGTTTAACAATGGATAGATGGATATTATCATCACAAAATTTGTCTTATTTGTGCATCACCGCTCACTTTGTTGATGAATCGTGGAAACTACAAAAACGGATCATCGGATTTATCAAAGTTCATAGTTCTATGGGGAAAGACATTTGCAATGTATTAATTTCGTGTTTGGATTTATCAAAGTTCATAGTTCTATGGGGAAAGACATTTGCAATGTATTAATTTCGTGTTTGCTTGAGTGGAAAATTGATAATAAGATATTGAAGACATTTGCAATGTATTAATTTCGTGTTTGCTTGAGTGGAAAATTGATAATAAGATATTATCGATTATGGTGGATGATGATAAAGCTAATGATGTTGTCGTGAAATTGAGAAAAGAACGTCTTAAAAAGTGGATACCTTGTGGCGGAGTCTTTTTTCATGTAAGATGTGGAGTACATATAATTAATCTTATTGTTCAAGAGGGTTTAAGAGTTATCACTAAAGCTATTGAAAAAGTAAGGCTTAGTATTAAGTATGTTACATGTTCACCAAAAATGGAAGAGAATTTTTATCATGTTGCTAACCAAGATAATGTGGAAAAGGAAAAAATGTCTTGTTCTAGATTGTTGCATCTGATGGAATTCTACTTATCTAATGTTGACGATTGCTTTAAAGTATAAAGTGGCTTTTAATAGATTTGAGCTTAAAGATGATAAATATCTTCATTGTCCATCGGAGGAAGAATGAAATCATGTTGAAACATTGAGTAAATGTTTAAAATATTTTTATGATGCAACAAATCTCCTCTCCGACACTATTTATCCTACTTGTAATCTTTTTTTGAAGAATTTTGTGAAATTCATTGCTTCTTAGAGAGTGGTTAAAAAGTGATGATGATACAATTGTGGCTATGACTTTTGCAATGAAAAGACAATTTGATAAATATTGAGATATGTGCAATAAGATTTTTGTGGTTGCTACTTTCAAGATACAAAATGATTGCAATCAAATATTTCTTTGGCTTGATTTATCGTGTCAATGGTGAAAAGTTTATAAATAATATTTTAGTTGTCATTAAGAAGATGCATGGAGAATATGCATGGAGGGACAAAGAGGAATCTAAAAATATCGAAAATGTTTCAAGCTCTCAAACAAAAGAAGTGGAAAGAGTTGGTGATAAAAGAAAATCAAGATTTGCACAATTTGTTGAAACAATTGATAAAGAGCCTACAAAAACGGATTTAGATTTATATATGGAGGAGAGCATTATTAGTACATGTGATGATGAAGAAATAGGAAAATTTGATATATTGAGTTGATGGAAAGCAAACTTTGGAAAGTATCCTATACTAGCAAAAGTAGCAAGAGATATTTTGGGCATACCGGCCTCGACCGTAGCATCCGAGTCCATGTTTAGCACCGGGGGACGTGTAATTCATTGTTATAGAAGCCGAATGAGAATGGATATAGTGGAGGCATTGATATGCGCATAAGATTGGATTAAACCGGAACAAGCAGGTACATAATAAATTTGTACAAAGTTTATCTTTTTATTTTTGGTTAATGAGCATCTAATGATTATATGTTTTTCTCTAATTTTTTGTAGTTACACAAGTTGAAACTAGAAAGGATGATGTTCTTGATGTGACTAAGATAGTGGATGACGATGACTCGGAGATTGCCGAGACCTTTGTAAAAGAATCATTATGTATGTTATTTGACTCAATAAGCACATGACTTAAAATTTTTATTTTTCCATATTTAACATGACAATTGTTCTTCTTCTTCTTCTTCTTCTTCTTTTTTTTGCAAGGTGACATTATGGAGGTCTACGACTCGGATGATGGGATGATCTTGGGGTAGACACAATTGTTTTCATCTTTGATGGTACTAATCAGTCAGCTCCATGTTTTGTGGTATGATCTTGGGGTTTTTAGGCTGCATTTGTTGTGTCTTGAGATTGTTTAATGGTTTGGAGATTGTTTTGTGGCATGAACTTTTTGTTGAATGGTGAATGTTGAAATGTTGAATGTTGAATGTTGTCTGAACTTTTTTGCCTTCAAAATTTAATTCAGACCTTTGAAGATATGATTGTTATAGTTTGGTCACAATTCCTGACACTATTGCTTTAGTTGGGTTGTGCTACTGAAAATTTTGGATGATGATTATATGTCTAATAAATTTGTGCTCAATTTTATCTTTCAACTGATGGTTTTGGATGAAGATTATATGTCTAATAGATTTATATCGAATATCTGTTTATATCCGTGATCATATCCGATCTGATTCTCAAATATATGAACTGTATCCGTTTCCGATAAGTGCGGATATGGTTAATGTTTTTTCTTACCGAAAGTGATCCGTATCCGTGTATAAAATACGGATATGGATATGATAAGCATCATATCCGAACCGTATCCGCTACGATAACACCCCTAGTCACCTAACAAAATCTAAGGGAGTTAAGTTACACTTTTAACATTTAGGGAGATATTTAGAAATCAGCAAATTTAAGGAGAGTTTTACGACTTAGTTAAAGTTAAGGAGCTTTTTTCAAAAAGGTCAGACTTAAGGGAGGTTTTGTGAAATGCAATAAGTCAATCCAGTAGGGTTGAATCTGAAAAACAATTTCCCGCAAGAAATTTATAATCTTTATCTGGGTAAACTCTGCACCCCCAAAATAACCTCTTTGACGTGATTTTCTCCATGGAAATAATCGGCGACTCGAGATCTCTGGGGGTCATCTGAAAAGATCGCCGGCGTCGATTTCATCCTCCACCGATGGCGGAGTCGGCGAAGAACAAGGAGGATTTCTCCGATCTGATCCAGCGTTTTGTTGAATCCCTAGCTGCGATCTCCGATCGCCTCCCCTTCGAGATCGATCGAAAGGTCCCGATCCTATCTTTAATCAAATATTGATACTTAATCTTTTGTATTTGGTAATTTGAGCCTTTGTGTTCTCGATCTGATGAAGACCTTTGAGAGTTGTGTTGCTGATCGCTGATCTTTACAATAGGAAAATAATCAAGTAATAGAAAGAATCTCTATTTGGAGTTAGCTTAATCTTACAGTAGTGTGTTCTACAATGATTTCTTTTGTTAGTAGTTGGTACTGTGAGACCTTTTTAGTTTGGTTGTCTTTTTTGATGAGTTTAATGTTTGTCCGAAAATAGTTAAATCGAAACCGTTTCACGATATAGATGCTTGCGTTGTAAAATGGTATGTTTAATGATAATAATAATAATAATGAAATCTTTGAAAGTTCCCTCCCCTTTTCCTGTGAGCTATGTGGCTAACAGTATTCAGTATCAGGGGATATTGTACATACAAAATATGGACACTTGTGTTGGAAATGAGTATGAATGTTGTTTGGTGGAAAATTTGAAGTAAAATGAAAGAAATTTGATTTGTATTCTCTCGATCTTAATTACAATTTGAATTCCCGATTACAAAAAAGAGGAGAATTGATCTGGAATCTCCCCTTTGTTTAATTCTCGGTTCTTTACGGTGGCGATAGAGTGCCTCCCTCGAATGTTCACGTCGAGTTTGCTCTCCGTTGACGATCCGAACGTCTTGATTCACTGGAACGGTATTTCTTCCTCACGATTTGACGCTGTGAAGAACTTGCGTGACAAGTTTGAAACTCTGAACAAGTTGATAACTCAGAACGAGTTTGAAACTCTATGAAAGAGTTGATTTAATCGAAAGTCGGTTATAAGCCAAAGATGAAGAAGCTCCTGTTGCCGATCTCCAAAGCTCCAGCCGAAGGATGGAGGATCTTCTTTGCTGCCAAGTCTCAGATCCAAAATATCGGCCCAAACCGAGAGCCAAATCTCTTCTGCTCGAACCCCTGAACTGAATTGATTTTTAGTTATTTATAGAGGATTAAGCGGTATCACCGTCCCCTTAATTCGCTCCTAAGTGGGGTGTAACCGTCATCAAATTATGGGAAACAGTTCTGAAACTGTTCAAGGGTTCAAGGGGTGTAATCCCCCCTAAAATCTCTCCATAATAGGGTGTAACCGACCCCATTAAGTGAAGATACGGTTTTAAAACCGTTCAGGTTCTGTTTGAACCAGTCAACCACAAAAAATGCGGGTCTAACCTCCGTGTTTTGATGTTATAATGCAGGTCTGACTCCAGCGTTTTAATGTTGACACACGGGGAGGACCTCCGCGTTTTCGTGTTGTAACGTAGGGAGGACCTATGCGTTTTGTTCTGGGAACACAGCCACGAGCTATTCGTTTTGAATCTGAGACGCATAGATGAGCTCTGCGTCTGGATTTGAAGAGATCATCAATTTGTAGTCTTTTTTGCTAGAACGTTGCAAAGACCGTCATCTTATAATCTTCTTCTTGGCTCCTTGAAATTATGAGAGTCGTCAGATTGTAACTCCCAATGTTGATTGTGAAGGTTGTTGATTAGAGTTTTTATTAGTTGTTGTGAAGGTTGTCAGATTGTAACCTTCATCGATCTATGTGAAAGTCTTCAAATTATAACCTTCTGAAAGTCGTCAGATTGTAACTTTCATCATCGGTGTTTGATGGGAGATCAACTATCTATTGTGATTTTTAGACAGCCTACAAATATGTATCATGTGCATCGTCAAAAAATTTTCCATGTGTCAGTTTGTTTGGTTTGATGATTCTGTACAACACAGTGAACTACCTGGTTATAGGCTGATAGAGACTAATCCATAACTGACCTGAGTGGGCTACGGTTCCAACTGACCTAATCCAACTTCGGTTTAAGGATTTGGACTGAGTCTGTGACAATGCTAGATGCCTTAGGCCTGGGTTGGGATTTTTAAACTCGCTTGGATTTTTCAGATTAAATGTCTCCTAGAAAAGGAAACGAGAATGTTATTATATTAAATAGCTATTTGACACGTTCTGTACATGATGTCTTTCCAAGTAAGCTGTTGTTTTTTGAATAGTAATGATAATGATATGATCAAATAAAACATAAATTTATCTCTTTTATAGAGAGAGGTCAGAGAGAGAGTTGAGGAAAATAATCTGATGAGAGGGCTCATGTAACAATGTTCTCCTCTAATCCTAGTACTAGACAACAAAGGTTTGTTATAAAATAGGTAAAACACGGCACATAGAAATTTATATCTATTCATTTGCCATTGGGTTGAAGTTTGCTTTTTCCTAGTGTATGGTGATCTTGGAGTTTGATCTATCACGGCCTAAGGAGAGTGGAAGGGAGGAGTGTCAAATGATGTTTTTTATAAACCCATAAAAATATCAAACAATTGAAGAGGAAAATTGGCAACTAAATAAAAAAGGGCTTTCTTATTTAAGCCTTCTTCTTGCCCTCTTTAAGGTCAAGCATCATTTAGAATGAAACAATACAGTTGGTGAGGATATGCATTTGCATAACTTTTGAATGCTAAATATTTATGAGTCCTTTTGTAATTTTGTATAGGTGATTTAACTATCCATTTATATTATATTGCATAAGTTTCTTTTCCCTCTTGTTGAGATGCCAAGTAGCCCACCTATTTGCATATGTTGGATGCTACTTAAAGGCACTCAGAACTCCTAAGTTTTACATCTACAAGTATCACAAATTTGAGACTGAGATATGTTAGTAGTTTAGTTCACTCGACCGTAGACAACAAAGTATATAATTTATTGCAAAATTTCACTTTTTTCATTTCTTTTTAATATAAATTTCACCTATATTTGGAGAAGTAATATTTTTGAGAAAACATGTTGGGAGAACTATTAGTTTGATCTTGGACTGTGAATCTGGACAAGAGATAATTAGGTAGCATATTGCGTAGGTTGGTCGGCTCATGACAAAAATATCTCTCTTGACACAAGGAAATTAATTACGACATAAATACAAACATAACTGAGAAACATCCTACTAGACATAAAACATTTGCAGATAGAAACATATTGTGGTAATTCAATACGTTATATTGACATGTCACAGATGTTGAAAAGCTATTCTGTTTACAAGTCCATTTGTAAGAGGCATAAATATGCTACTATTGTTAATTTCTGGAATTTATCTTATAAGTACGAATCATTTTTTGCATATGCCACTCTAATTTTCTAATTCTATATATCTATCTATACTACCAAAAATTTAAATTAAATGTTGTAGGAATTTTATTTCATACCACGTGAAATGGAAAAAATAATATCAATCTCAAGTAAATTATTATTATTATATATATGTATGTGTAGTTGTGTCCTAGTGCCCTACCTTTTACAAATTTGCAATGTCCGGCACCCACACCAGCACTAATATTCATGTAACTTAGCTTCTTGCTTTGCAGAATAGTAATTTTTTTAAAGGCCTTGGTCTTTGTTTATGAATGCACAAATTATTTCTTGATCCTACTGTTGAGAGATAATATGTAATCAGTAATATGTAATCAGTGGTTTAGTCCCACATCGGTTGTAGGACCAGGCTTGTATCCTTTTTTGAAACTATATATAGACTAGAGTATGAGACCCTAATCTCATATAACTCTTTTCTCTCCAAATCTCTACTTATAAGATTAACATGGTATAAGAGCCACGTTTAAAAAAAAAAAAAAAAAACGATGGTACTCTAGCACGCTTGAAGGCGTGTTTGGTTGCAAAGGGTTTCTCTCAAGTCTATGGTCTTGATTATTTGGATACGTTCTCTCCTGTTGCTAAGATGACTTCAGTTCGTCTTCTCATTTCTATTGCCACTACCTATCATTGGCCTTTACATCAGATTGACATTAAGAATGCATTTCTTAATGGTTTTCTTGATGAAGAAGTTTACATGGAGCAACCACCAGGCTTTGTTGCTCAGGGGGAGTCTCTGAAGGTCTGCAAGTTAAAGAAGTCTTTATATGGCCTAAAACAATCTCCGCGTGCCTGGTTCTGTCGCTTTACATCTGCAGTCCTTTACATCTGCAGTCCAAGACTTTGGTCTTAGTAGATCAGAGAAAGATCATTCTGTCTTCTGGAGACTACATAATGGCAAGCGAATCCTGCTCGTTGTATATGTGGATGATATTGTAATCACAGGGGATGATACAATTGGGATTAGCAGTTTGAAGAAACATCTACAAGAGCACTTCCAGACTAAGGATCTAGGGTCTCTCAAGTATTTTCTAGGTATAGAGGTGGCCAAGTCAAAGAAGGGTGTTCATTTGTCACAGAGAAAATATGTGCTCGATATGCTTTCAGAAGCTGGCATGTTAGGATGTAGAAGCATTGATTCTCCAATGGATGTAAATGTTAAGTTGTTACCAGATCAGGGGGAGCTTCTTGAGGATGTTGGACGATTTAGAAGGTTGGTGGGAAAATTGAATTATTTGACTGTAACTAGACCAGACATCACATTTGCGGTGTGTGTAGTCAGTCAGTTTTTATCAGCACCAAGAACTACTCTTATGGATGCTGTATTAAGAATTCTGCGATATCTAAAGAAAGCTCCAGGGAAAGGTCTCCTCTACTCAGATCAAGGACACACAAGAGTGGTCGGATTTTCAGATGCAGACTGGGCTGGGTGTCATGTTGATAGGAGATCAACCACAGGTTATTGCATATTTGTTGGAGGAAATATTGTATCATGGAGGAGTAAGAAGCAGAGTGTAGTATCCCGTTTTAGCGCAGAATCAGAATACAGAGCAATGGCAAATGTAACACTGGAAATGGTTTGGATTCACGACTTGTTGACAGAAGTTGGTCTTCCCCCAGAATGTCCTATGACACTATATGGTGACAATCAAGCAGCAATCCATATTGCTGAGAATCCTGTTTTCCATGAGAGGACGAAGCACATTGAAGTCGATTGTCATATTGTTCGAAGGAAGATTGTAGATAAAATCATCACTACAAGACATGTATCAACAGGTCATCAGTTAGCAGACATTCTAACAAAACCACTTGGGAAAACTCGGGTAGACTTTATTTGTGACAAGCTGGGCATGTATGATATATATGCTCCAGCTTGAGGGGGAGTGTTGAGAGATAATATGTAATCAGTAATATGTAATCAGTGGTTTAGTCCCACATCGGTTGTAGGACCAGGCTTGTATCCTTTTTTGAAACTATATATAGACTAGAGTATGAGACCCTAATCTCATATAACTCTTTTCTCTCCAAATCTCTACTTATAAGATTAACACCTACTGATGTATAGCTGTGCAGAACATGGCTGGTTCTTATATTAACAACTTCCATCTTTATTATAGTTTCATCACAGAGTTAGATCATCTTACTCTTGCCGTGTAATGAGGTATGTGTCCCTTTATTGCAAACTTGGCATTGTTAACTGCCACTGTTTAAAAAGCTTCCGCCTAGTCCGCCTAGGGGTACACCTAGGCCCGGGCGGTACCTAGGCGATATCTAGGCCGTCCATTTAGGTTTTGAGAGTGTTTAGGGAAATATTGTCTACTTACGTGGACTGCACCCTTTAGGCATTGATTGTGATTTTCTGTGTTGCAGTCTAAGCTCCAAATATGAACACCTCTACTACATTCTCCGACCTTCAGCAAAACCTCTTCGACCACCACTTAAATGAAGAAAAAAGTTCGCCTAGACACCAGTTCGGCACCTAAGTTTTCTATAACATTGACATTTACTATCAATGATTGTAATTATATTATAAAAATAAAAAAGAAAGCTTTCTAGGCTCTAGGCGTCGAGTCCAAAGCCTAGGCCCCTTAACGCTTTCAGTTATTATTTTAGCTATTTAGTATTTAAGTATGCATGGTTTATTATAAATGTAATATTGCTATCTATTTTTTACAAATTTATATGAATTTAATGTAAATTTTTATCACTTATTATAATTAAATAATTTAAAAGAAGAAGCATTGCCCTTTTTTGATCTATCCCATGTGTCATTTGTGAAAGAATTAATGTCCTTTGTAGTTCACTAAGAGGGAGTTCACATCAGTACTTTGCAGGGAGGGTAAAAAAAACCTCTTATAGCCCGGAAGTCTTTAGCAACCGTCCATGCTAGAATAGCACTTGCGCCTATAGCAATGGTTAAAAGACCACATGCAAATAAGGTAGGCTATACGCCTAGGTGTCTAGCTGCTAGGCGCTGGCTCTAACACCTAGTCCGCCTAGCGTCTTCTGTAACATTATTAACTGTATCTTAAGCTTTTTCTCCAAGCAATACCGATATAGATTATTATAAACCTTTAGCTCCGACAAAAAATTATAGAGACTAGTTAGTTTCTAATTTGCTTGTAAATTCTCATTAAGAATTAATGTGTCCTCATTTGAGTGTACTAGCTGTTGTATATGAATTATGTTAAGTAAATATTTTTAGAAGTTACAATTTGAAACATGCTACTCCAAAAAATTATTTTCTTGTTAATTTTATGAGAGGTCTCAGTTGCAGTTGTAAAAGTAATTTTAATTCTTATCAAAACAGAGACTACACTCTGTCACAACCTTTGCTGCTCTTTCGGTCGCAATTATCTTTGCTTGGAAGCTCTTGAGGGCTCCTCCAGAGAACCATAGAAGACAACCTAGAAGGCGTACTCCAGTTTCTGGTCCTTCTGGTGTCAGATTGCATTCAAGTACAACTTTCTCGTCCCCTGAAATTTGTTCGTCTTCTGGAGACTCAAAAGCACTTGATGCAGTTGATGAGCTGTTCCGACCAGTAAAGGTGTTAGTAAAAGTCAATTTAAAGTTTCGCACTTTCTATCAACAATTAGAATTCTAAGATTGTTAATTTCTTTTTCCAGCTGACTCTGGAGCAACTTGTCAGGCATAAGCTAAGTGAAGGGAGAAAGGTAGTTTTCCAACTTGCACAATTACAGTTTTTAATTGTCTTCTAGTACATGCACATTCTTGGGAACTCTTTCTAACAGTAGCTTACTGTTTTTCTATGAATCCACCAACCTTCTTTCAGTTTATGCCACTGATTTATTGAAAGAATTAATAATGTTAGCTGAAACTAGAGTTTTGGTCCACTAGCAAGGAAATTAAGCCTATATGCTCGTTTTGTTATATCTGATCTGTACTCGGTATATATCTCCAAGGTATGCCATTAATTGGGTATAATGAAATCTGATATTTATTAGTGTTTGGGTATTATAAAAGTAGAGGGGTAGACAAAAGTTGGTAATAAGGAATTCCAAAATTTATGAGATATGCCCATAATTGTTATTCTTTGGGATACCAAGTTTATGAGATTTGACATGTTTATAACCGTATGTATATACCAACTTTATGAAATATTGGCCATACTAGCTCGTGTAATGAAGAGTTCTTCACTCAAAATCTATAGGGGTATAATCATGTCAATTCTAAGCAACTGATTATAATTTATATAATGAAACCAGCTAAATATCCACCCAAAAAAACAAACTTTGGACGATTATCAGATAGCCTCTCTAGCTTTCAAAGTATTAGAACCCCAAACCTAAATTAGGGGTTATCATAAAACCCACTTTACCTTTAAGATTTTATTGGAAAGCCCTCTAACAATATTAACAACAATATTTCACATGGGTGGGTAAAATTACGCAAGGGGGTGTTTTTTTCTAGTGAAAATTGCGGTGCACACATTTAGAGGATTTTCTGATATAACCTTAAAACTAAAGGAAGTTTCTGATGACCCTAAATTTGAGGGGGTTTTCTGATCTTTGAAAGAGTTATGGGAGGTTATCTGATAATCGTCCAAAGTTTTTTCTTTTGGGGGAGGGGTTGGGGTAGGGTGGGGTCTGATACTAAGCCAATTTTAAACCTTTACTGGTCCTAGTACTATGCTACGACTTTCATATAATGGATGTAGTACTATCTACGAATTTTGCATAATCTAACTTCTAGATATCAACATGTACATTGCAATGCTTAGTGGAGTTGAATGAGGTTAATTGAGTACTGAGTCAATCTTGATTAAGCTACTTCTCTTCTAGCTTAACCACAAGCAAAGTCTTTATCCTAAATATTGGGTGTTGTCTACATGAATCACACTTTTCTACTCAGTTATATTGAAGGCTATCTCCTCCATTCAGTTTACTGCTTCTAAACAAGTACTCTAAGGCCTATCTCTGGTCCTTCTTTCTCTATTGATTTCCTATAATTTCTTAATTGGTGTATTTAATGACTTGCATTGCACATGACCAAACCATTTCTAACGGTTCTCTCTCATCTTGTTCAGAATAGGAGCAACCTCTAACTTCCTACCAATGCACTTATTTCTTATTATATCTCTTAGTGTATATTCACTCTTCTTTGTAATATTCCCATTTCTCCTACACTCATTTACTACACCTCTGTTAATTGTCTAACAATCTGACTTATAAATCATTGTGGAAGACTGGAAGTTATATCTATCCTATAGAATTTTTCCTTCAATTTTAGAGATATTTTACGATCACATAGAACTCAAAGATTCCTCCACGATCCTAAATTGTTTTGATGGACCAAATCATCCTCAACCTCATTATCTTGATGAACAATTGACCCTGAATTAAAAAATGATTACTCCTAGGTATTTCTTGAATTTTGACTGTTAATATGTACTATAACGCTCATTCTTTTCAACCTTCTACATGGAACTTATTTTGTCTAGTCAAATCCAATATTGTTCCTATGTCCTAGCTTATCTCATGTCCTATCTTGGCTTATTTAATATTGAGTTGAAATATACTTCTAACTAGTGTTTTCAAAGGCGCACACCTCATTGTGCCTTATGCGCCTTACAATGCGGGGCAATGGTGAATCGCCCCGTATTTGATGCAACAACGCTTTTTGCTCATCGCAACCATTCTGACTTTGCATAGGGCGCATGTAGTAGATAGCCTTATATATTTTTTGTTCGTTAACATTTCAATTGAGTTTTTATACTTATAACCCATATCCTGAAAAGCAAACTAAATCCATTAGGCCTTTATAGTAGCCTTCAATTGAGGACCCTAGCTAATCCTCATTTACTTTTTGATTTTTCTTGGATATTAGTCTTAATTTGATATTTGAATTGAAAAATTATGAACTTTGCTACTATGTTTGATGTGTTAGCATTAGAAATTAAGACCTATATTGTGATTTGGTAGTAAGAATTATTATCCTGACATTTTATGTGAATTTCTAAACATTTTCTTTTGTGCTTGATTATCTATCTTGAAAAATTATGTGTGCGGTGTGCACCTTGCATCACTCAGGCGCGCGCATCGCATTGCGCCTTGCGCATGTGCGCACAAAGATTATTTGCGCCCCCATTCCGCCTCGTGCATTGATAACATTGCTTCTTAACTTATTTAATTTGATAGTTCTAACGGTTGATGACCCTTAACCTTTGACATTGGGTGTTGAATCTTTGATCTAGTTATTTGGCTTCTGGACTCTAAATGTAGAAGTGCCCATGATATGTCAAATAAGATACGCGTAAGACTGATTTAGCTAGTCATGATGCTAGCTTGATTACGATTCAAAGTAATAGTTCAGGTACTCTTGTATATGCCTTTCAATGATAAACTTAGCTTAGCTCACATGTTTCTTTTAGGATGGTTCATTAGTTGATGAAGCTAATTTCAGTGTGAACATTGAGCCACACGTGATTGATAGAGAACTTTTTTTTGGTTCTGGCAGAGCTGATAGGCTCTATATTAATATGTTGATATGCAAAAGGCTTGAGCTTGTGTTGTCGTTCATGATGTCTTCAAATTATATGGGAGTTGATTCTGCTTTTTAAGGAATTTTAATTTTTATCTTTTGACAATTATTAGCTGCATTTTAAATTTCGTTGAGCATTATTGACTAGCCTTCATATGTAGCTCCTTCTGAAAGTCTTAATATAATTGAATGGTTGATGGTCTTTTATATTTAAGGAATTAGGATGCATGTAACTAGCTGACATTGTAGCCAATGTTCAAAAACACGGTTTTTATTATGTGCTTGGTCTAGGAATGCTTAACGAATAATTGAATTAAGCATCAGTTAATCAGATTATGTGGAATTATGTGTTTTTAATTTTATATATATATATTATTTATCATATGTTAAAATATATAAAACTCACGGAAAATAGAAAATACACTGAGAAAATACCTACAAACATTCGACTGAACATTCAATAACTGGTTAACCACTTTAAAATTGAATCCATGCATCAAAATTAATGCGATACTCAAAAAAAAGTTATTAAATTAAACATTTATCAGTTCATAAACTAAAACGAAATCCTCT